TAGAGATTTGGAATCATGATAGACTGCAAGCCCAGGTTAACCCCCCATGTGAGCAACGATTAGAATTTAACTGTGGTAAATTGACCAACGCCAGACAGTATAGAGAAATTATAGGAAGCTTAATTTATGCCATGACCTGTACAAGGCCTGATTTAAGTTGGATTGTAAGCAAACTGTCTCAAACTCTGTCAAACCCCAGAACGGGAGATTTAATTGCTGCCAAACCAGGGTCTTAGACAGAAGTAAAAAAAAATCCGCGTTTACCTGAAATTGGGAAATTTATTTTAGCCTGAAGCCGAACATTTCTTTGTGGGTCTGGGGGCATGCGGTTGCTCCCTCTCGATTTTTAAAATTTTTGTGTCTTTGAAATGGCATTTCCCGCATTTTGGGAGTAATTTTGAGCAAATGTAGTTATAAACATGCTTTTAACTATTTTGTGGCTGACTCAAATTGGGAAATTGCGACCTCAAGGTAATTGGGATAACCGTGTTTAACACGGAATTTTTGACTGTAGCTAACACCCTGCAAACATGTCCTAAGGTATCTAAAGGGTACCGTGGATTATGAACTTTGCTTTAAGAAATCTGATGCTGACTTGCAGCTCACTGCTTATAGTGATTCAGATTGGGCCTCTTGCCTGGAAGACAGACGAAGTACTACAAGGTTACTGTTGTACTCTAATTGAAGGAGGACCACTGATTTCATGGAAGTCGAGAAAGCAACCAACGGTTGCCATTTCCACTTGCGAAGCTGAATATGTAGCTTTAGCAAATACAGCTCAAGAGTGTTTGTATCTAACTCAATTGTTAAATGGTATATAAAAGAAAGTACATCAGAGTATGAAGGTAAGTGTTGATAACCAAGGGGCAATTGCACTAAGTAAGAACCCAGTTAACAGACAACGTTCTAAGCATATTGACATAAAGTACCACTTTGTACGTGAAATGTATGTTAAAGGCATGATAGATATTGTATACTGTCCTACACAAGATATGGTAGCTGATATCCTAACAAAGCCACCCACAACATGTAAACTAGATAATTTTAAAGGTATCGTGTTCGGTTGTTGTAATTAGTTTATATTCTGATAACAAGTGAGGGTGTTGAGTTCAATATAAAACTGTATGTTATCCAAATATTAGTATGACATAATACTGAGAGACAAAATGCATGATGGGATTGTTGTGTTGTTAGTTGAACTCCCTCGTGAAAGTAACTTACTTTACAAAACTACATTTGTAATAAACGAGAAAATAAAGAGTGATTTCATTACAAATACGGTGTTCTCTAAAGTCATGGCTTCAACACCAAGTCAAAATACGAAGTTCAAATACATTCCACAACAGGGGCATGGGACAACAGGGGCATGGGAAGCCACAAAAAGTTGGGGGGGGCACTGGTTTCGAGGGGCACTTTTGGAATGAAAAGGACACCTAAAAAATTTTTCCCGGAAATGTTGGCGATGGGGGAAGGGGAGAGGGAAGGGAAAATAAATACAATCATAAATCAAAGGCTGTTGAAGCAGACTCACGGATGAGATCAAATGAAAGTGATCGAAAGAATTAAATCAGTTTGCAGTTGTTTTTGCAAATGAGCACCGTGCTGCTGCAAATGAGCACCGTGATTGTTGCTTTGCAACATCCACGAGTCAAAAATGCAATCTGAACAACATTTTTCGCAAAGGGAAAAGGGCACTTTGCCACAGGAAAAAAGGGCACTTTTTGTGTCTTCTGAAACTTGGGGTAGCCTGCAAACAGGCTCTTTGAAGCTAAACTTGGGGGGGGCTTGGCCCCCTTAGACCCCCCCCCCCCCCGTTCCTATGCCCCTGTTCAAATGAAGGTTAAAATTCTTCAATTTAATTTGAAGGTTAAAATTATTCAACTTTCCCAGTCCGTTCTGGTCCAACCCAGAGGGTCCAACCAATCTTGGACATCATCCACATTTTGACTTCGAAAATCGTTTAATAAAAATTTCACCATTTTCCTTGAAAACACAAAAGCAAACAATGTGCTTTTGACTGACATGTTAATGGCTTAAAGCCTCTGGTTCCTGTGTCAGTGGGTAGCAAGTCAATCTATAATAGTCTTCCATGTTCGGTGAACTAAACGTTTTTTTTAGTTCTGGTTAAATCCCCGTACTCATTATAAGTGGAATCAAATGCCCCACCACTTCATTCCTGAAAACATCCATACCACTCCCATGGAGGAAATGGGAAGTTAAACCCCCTACCCCTTCAGATTTTCCTTCAGATGCCCTAATACATTTACTGATTATCAGAAACAATTTTTTCTCCCCTCCCCCTCCAGATGGCAGAAATTTCCTCCGTGGGGGGAGTATGGATCTTTTCTGGAACAACCAAATGCCTGCCCCTACGGAAAATCACGAATGACAAATGCCCCTCTCGTGCCTGGGGGAATGTTACACATTCGTTTTGATCGGCACATTATTTAAAAGACTTAGACGTTGTTTGAATGTTTTTTTTTAGAATTTATATCTGTGCAATTTTCACAGCTTTGTTGTCCTTGGCCGACGCAACTGGATTGTTTACATTTCTAGACAAGCTGATCCTGGGGATTTTGTTGCAAATTGAGCTGCGATTCCTCAGCGTGGACTTGTCAATGTCATAACAGCCAATTTTAAACCAGCAGAGAGCTCCACTTGTTTTAAAACAACATAACAAGTTTTTATTGTATTATCATGTCATATAACAAATTAAGTAATTAGGCATGTTATTGTGGGATCTCTGATCAATTTAATAAATATTATATAAATAGACATCTTGTTTTATTGTTGCATTAATTTTAATCTGAAAAATACTCACTAGGTAGGTCAAGTGCAAGGATAAATTCATTTATTTACTAAAGCACATTTTTACAGTTATTTATGCACTTAGTGTTATTTGCACAAGTGTACATGACTGATTGTTTTAATTAGATATACCCAGTTATCATATAACCCATGGTTTAAAAGATGCTGTAAAAACTAAAAAAAGTTAGCCAATTATTGAAATAAATGCACTAATAATAACTTGCTAAGCATAGTCTGTTGCTATTATTTATATAAAAAACATCTGTCAACATACACTCATGCTTTTCCCTGCCACTTGAGTCTCCCACCAGGTGTCTTTATTGAAATTTTTGAGTTTAAAAAGTTAGATTTTCAAAAAAAGTTAGATTAGGGGTTGGTGTTACGTGCCGCAAATTTATCATATTGATAAATTTGGACGTGTTTACGAATTTACTTGTATAGTAAATTCAAAGGTGGAGCTCCTGCTGAAATACTTGCATAGTTCAGAAGCAATGTAATACTCATATAGTAAATTCAAAGGTGGAGCTCATGCTGAAATGCTTGCATAGTTCAGAAGCAATATAACCAACATGTGACTGTCCATCCAGTTCCATAGTATAGACCAAATGCTAGGGGTGCACCGGAACTCAGTTCTGACCGAAACCCCGATTTTTTAGAGTTTCCGGTTCCAGCCAGAACTAATAAAAAAGGCATGGCCAGAACCCTGTTATATTCAGAGAGATGTATAATATCAAATGTTTTTGTGTCTAACAAAAGTTCAGTAGGGAGAAATTTAGAATGTCTGCCTGTCTGGCAGTAGACAAAGTAATATATGACTATATGTGACCCCTATCAATTGTTATAGGCAATTCCAGCTTTTAATTTATGCATGCAGGGGGGTGACGGAAGTAACGTACCATATTGCTGATTATGCTGAAAAATTTAAATAAACTGATATATTTTAATTAATATTTACAGGTATAAGCTATCACTCCATATTTACATGGCCACCATTTATTTTTTCAGCATTATTAGTGATATGATCCCCCCACTGCACACATAAACTAAAAAAGCTTGAATTACCTATTGCACTTGGGTCCCTTGGATTCAATGACGCTGGCCGTATTCTTACATTCATTGTTTTATCTTGTTCATGAAGGTGAGGTACACCTTAAATTTTCCAAATGATGTTGGTAGTTTTTTCTCATGAGCAGCACCGATGCACTTGAATGGTACAGTGTGGGCAAGTTCTTCCTCCTCATCACTTCCATCTTCATCACTTAACTCATCATCACTTTCTGCCCTATCACCTTGATCACCTCTTTCATATCCATCCTGAACAGGCTGAAGACCAGCCAACCACTCAAGTAAATCTCTTTCTACAAAATCATAACAAGAAAATTATTAGTTGTCAATTCATCATTGAGTTGGTTTTCGTTATTTTTAGTAATCACCTTCAATATTATTTAGCTGAAAAGATGAAGCAGACGAAACAGACAAAACTTTGTTGGAAAACCTCCTCCATGATGAATTAAATATGATAAGCGTCAGGATTTATGTCAGATAATGACCCCACAGCGTCCTCGGGTAGGCTTGGGCCGTTTACCGGTTAACCGTTTTTTTTTATGAAACCGTTTTTTTCGGTTTAGCTTTTCGAAAAACCGGAAAACCGTCGTTACATAATTATTTACTATCATTGACTTATCGCGCTGTAATTTGATCATTTTGACTTTAATTTAAGACATTTGACACTTGAACTGTCAAAATTTTAAGCAGGAAAAATGCGCATTTGACCAATCACATAGTGCGCATTTTACAGTGTTAATTTCATGCGACGCATTATTCACTGAACGCAAATATGGCAGCTATAAACGCCAACGTCGATTTGCGATCAAAAAAGTTTTCTGGGACCTCTATCTCCCCTGTCTGGCAATATTTCGGATTCAAGCAAGACGAAACAGATAGTGACCGGCCGACATGTAAGCTTTGCCTGAAGAAAGTTTGTGCTGCTGGGGGAAATACTTCTAACCTACGCCGACATCTCCAAAATAATCATCCTGTTGAGTCAAGCAAGATTGCCAAGGCAAAACCAGAGAAACGTCAGGTTGATACTGCTGGTGCAGGGCAGTCGACATCTCAAAATCAACAACTATCTATTACCGATGCGTTTTCCAAGCTCAACCGACTCAGTCACCAAATGCTTGGCCAAGGATATGATGCCTATATACACTGTGGAAAAGTCTGGCTTTCAACAGCTGTTAAAGGATTTTGATCCCAAGTATCAGCTTCCCAGCAGAAAGTATTTCAGCAACCAAGCAATCCCGAAATTGTACAACGAAACCAAAGAGAGCATATTGCAGCACCTAAGGTCTGCTGAATTCTTTTCGGCTACATCAGACATGTGGTCAAGCAACACAATGGAGCCGTATATGTCATATACTGTCCACTACATCGACCCAGACTGGAAACTCCAAAGCAGATGCTTACAAACGTTGTATGTGCCCGCTGATCATACTGCCGAAAACCTCGCTGATGGGATGAAGGAGATCTTAGAGCACTGGCATCTTTCATCCACAAAACAAGTGTGCATCACCACCGACAGCGGAGCAAATGTTGTGAAGGCAGTTCGTGACCTAGATTGGCTGTGGATGTCGTGTTTTGGCCACAATCTTCATCTCGCCATTACAAATGCTATGAAGGATGAAAACCGCATCTCACGGGTGATTGGAGTATGCAAACGTATCGTGACGGCATTCAGCCAAAGCTGGAAGAGACATAGAGAACTGAGCAAGGCACAGCTAGAGTTGAAACTCCCAGTCAAGTCTCTAGTTTCGGTAAATATTCTTGTAGAATTTTACACTTTTATTACAAAATAAAATATAATAATATAATATACTTTTTAAAGGAAAAAAATTAAATATATTAAAACAAAACATTAAACATATTGAATTCGAAAATTCTTGAGAACTCAAATCTTGAGAGCTCAAATCTTGAGAGCACAAGCTGTCATTCGGTGTATGTACTATGTTTTGTTTTATATATTTTCTAAAATTTTCGGCTTGCATCCCTCGAAATGGATTCTGCCACAGTAGAAATGTAGATATCTGCCATTTCCCCATCAGTCCAGCTAATAATTCAACATATATCTTGTAATCTTGACTCATATAGGCATCTCCAACGCAATGGGGTTCTACCCACAAAATGATAGATCGAATCTTGGAGCAAGAGAGAGCTATTCGGCGAGTTTTGTCCTAAGATCGTAAAGTCGCCCATCTTGTCTTGACCTGGCAAGATATAGATGTCTTTACATCGGTACATAAAGCACTGCAGCCATTTGCAGATTTCACGGACGCTTTATCGGGTGACTCCTACGTTACCATTAGCTCTATTAAGACTACCATGTCGTTCATCCAGGATGCTACAATGGCCGCTGATGATGACACAACACTGACAGCAGACCTGAAGGCAGGTATCAGAGCTGACTTTCAGAAACGGTATACCAGCGACCTTACTCAGACCCTGCAGAGTGTGGCAACGTGGTTGGACCCTCGGTACAAATCTGCATATCTGACCGAGGAGGAATGCAGAAATGCCACGCAGAAATTAAAGGAGTTGATGACGTTTGAGGTTGAGCGGGCGGGAAATGCTGCAAACGAAACTGGTCAACGGCAGAACAACGATTCGAACGCATCAGCTGATAACAATGAAGACAATCAACCACCAGCAAAGAAAGTGAAAAAATCACTTGCGAAACTTTTGGGGCAAGTTAAGAAAACATCAGACCCAGGTAATGCAACAACTCCTGCTGATCGTATCGATCTTGAGATGTCTCGGTACGTTTCTGCACCCGAAATTGAGCTAGATGCTGATCCGTTGCAATGGTGGAGTATGCACGCTGCTGCATATCCATCGTTGGCTAAACTTGCACGCAAATACTTGTGTATTTGCGGTACAAGCTGTGCTTCCGAACGACTGTTCAGTGTCGCTGGTAACATTGTTACGGCCAAGCGGTCACTACTGAAAGTGGATATGTTGGTTTTCTTGGCCAAAAACCTGTGAATATTTTATTCTTAAAACGTTTCTAAGGTTTCCATTTTTGTAACAACTTATGTTATATTATAATGTGTTCGTGTAATTTTAACTTTTATACTGTATATATCGCGTAGTTTTGACTTTTATATATATAGTTATAAGTTATTAAAATTTTGACTTTTATATATATAGTTATTAAAATTTTGACTTTTATATATATATAGTTATTAAAATTTTGACTTTTATATATATAGTTATTAAAATTTTGTTTCGTTTTCTGAGAACGTTCATTTTTTTGCTGATAATTTTGCAGTGATGTATGTAGTTCAAATTATAACGTAAAACGTTATTATAAGTTTCAAATTGCATTCCTTGACCTTCAGTCAGTTCAAAACTGAACGCATGTCAAGGCACGTTCGTATACTGACGTCAAAAAATTGCTGCTGACACCACAATTCTTCTTAATTATATTATGGGAAAATTTGATGGAAAAAAAAACCGTTTTACGGTTTAACCGGTTTAAAATCGGATGGTTTTTCGGTTTTTATTTTAGGCAAAACCGCCCAAGCCTATCCTCGGGTCATTATCTGACATAAATCCCTCCTTCTTCCTCCTTTAAAGTGCTACTGCAGCGAATTTTTCCACCCTCATTTTTTTAGCTTAATTAAAAGTGCTTTCCTTCCTGACCTGTTTACCACAAACAGAATTGAAATTGGTCAATTCACACCGATTTTATAGCCTTCCAAAGTGACCATTTTTGGCACTTCCTGTGCGAACTTTTGATCGGCCATGTTGATGCCATGTGACGTCATAAGATGAACACGATTTTATCATGGCGTATTAAAATTATAGTAAAACCAACAAACGCGGAGACGAAGGCCGTGTTTCTGGCAGTTCTAACTTAGATTATTGCACGAATTCTGAACAGCCTGAAGGAATACCCATGCATACATTTTCCAACAAAGAAACAGATCCACAGAGTGAAAGAAAGGCAGTGAATTTTATCCGTAAACATTGACCGCGGGTTTCACGCATCTGCGAACCTAGTAGTGTTTTGATTGACCCCGTTTTGAAGATTCGTGCTATATCTTATTTTCATTGACCAAACCTCGTAAAATGGAAAGAATACTGAAGGAAGAAACTGTTTATATAATTTACATGGCTAGAATTGTTCCCCTGGCTAAAGTACAACTAACAGACGCAAGGCAAATAATTCAGGTATATATTATAGTGAAGTACAAATTAATATGTTCGCACACATGGTGAATATTTTGCGCAAATGATGCTATATAGTTAGTCTAAAGTGTTTAACATTTCTTATGTTTTAGAGCATTTGTGGTTGTAAAAAGACTATCTTGTGTTAAGTTAGTTTCTTGTCCAGAGCATCTTGAGATTGAAATAAAGACAACAATTCAGCATGCCTTGACGGCTTGACCTAGTTTCGTCAAGATTTCTGATGACATTTTGAGAGAAACAATGACATTGGAGTTATATTCAGTCATATCAATAATACATATTGCATAGTATAAAGTAACAATAAATATAATAATACAATAGTATAATATTGTACTGGTACGCTATTATGTGAGAAATATATTTGTGACTTTGAAGATTAATATAATTTCAAAATATTACAGTAAATGTGATATTGCACAGTGGCACAATTTTGACTCAATGGTTAACTGACTCAGTCACAATCTGCCTAATCCAACTAAAGACGACCGCTTTTCTGCTCAAACGTAAGGCAGCTGTGTCTTTGTTGTTGTTGGAAATTATTTTCTTCTGTTTCCCATCCAAGTAAAACTATAGCCATCAATAGAACCACAGCCCGTAATTGCCAATTACACCTATCGCTATCTATTGAAAGCAAAATCAAAATCATTTTGAGTATTGCGAATTATTAGGCTATGAATATGCTGTGTTTATAAACGTTTTTATACTTTTTTGTCACGCACAATTGCAATCCAGTTCATAATAAATATTAAGTTACATACACCAGATGTGTTCAGACACAATACCGAGGCGAGCACAATACAATTTATATATACATGCATGCAATAAAAAGGATCTACTTACCACTAATTTTACAGGTATTGTACCATCGCTTGATTTCTCCAACACAGTCACAGATGGTAGTAGTTGCCTATCTGCAGCGGCGTTATATAATTTCTCTATCACTTCGTCTAGTGAAGCTGTATAAAAGCTGTTAGGCAACTGGTTCATCATCGTATTTCAAAACAGACTTAGCCAAGTCCATACTCGTTGACTTCCAGATGCAGTACTGACCCTATTATCTGAATCTCTAACCATCATTCCGCCGTCAAATAAACAATAAGGTATAGCACTTGTGCTTCGATTTTTAAAAATCAGTTATCTGCGCCATAAACATGTGAAATAGACAAGAATTCCACTGCAATATGTTGACGCGCCATATAATTTACTACAAATACGACCTTCATATCTTCGTTTCCGTTCATCTTATGACGTCACATGGCATCAATATGGCGACGGAAAAGTTCGCACGCGATAACCAACTTCAGAGGTTAAATTCGGCAACTTCCAAGCATCGCATGATGGTCAAATATATATGAAAATGCTTCTAAAAGACTGAATTTTTATTTAAGCTAAAAAAGACTAGGTCCAAAAATTCGCTGCAGTAGCACTTCAAGCAAAAGCACATGTATTCTCAATATCTAACTGTGTATTGAAAGAACACACAAACATAGCAATATATAGATGAATAAATTCAGATGAAAAAATATGAAATTACAGTTGCACATTTAAACAACCATCCACAACTAGATACAAACAGGCATCATGCATACTCAGCAAAATTTATAAAACAATACTGAATACAAATATACTCGTCTCAGAACCAATGTTCACATGTTTTCATTAGCAAACACCAAACTCATCAGGATAGAGTCAAACTAAAGTACAATATTGAAAACAGCAAAGCGGGAATTTGACCAAATAACAAGTCAACTGTAATGCATTGTAGTATACTGACCTTAAATAGTGCACTTGTTTCCACGTTGATGATACACAGAGATTTTATAACACCATGATCGCCTTCCAATTTTGGGAATAACACAATTCCTTCGCTCTGACAGACGGATTATTTATACTTGGTATAATAAAACACAAGTCACAATGAGGATCGCAACGATTCAGCAATAACATGCTATTTTCACGAATGCTTCCATATTTGTCGAGTCCCACCACCAAGTCCCACTGATACGGGCTTCTACGGGTTATCATAAATGGTTATCGTCAGAGGAAGCATATTTAAAAACCCTCAGCCTCTGACCATAGCTGGTGCCTGGTGAGCCTCTGACCATAGCTGGTGCCTGGTGAGAAACAAACTTAAAATCCACTCCATTTATATTTTCAACTTAGGATCATGACCTGAAAGGTCAAAGTCATTGAAGCCACGCGTAGAATTAGTAACGACCTCTTGAAAATCAGTTTTCAATTTACTGCTGAAGGGCTACTGTTTCCAAATAATTTTTAAATAATAATATGGCTAGTGGGAATGCGCAGGTATGGATCGTCGAAAGTACCAGGGGGTATGCAGACAAGCCCCCCCCCCCTCCCCCGGAAAAAGTCACTGCATGCAACGCCATTTGACGTACCTGGAAATCAATGCTCTCAATTGATGAGAACTGTGATGAGAACGAGTTCAGTCCAGGCACTGTGGTCCAGGGCAGACAGCCCAGGGCTAAAGTCCAGGGGCCGGTTGTCTAAAAAAGTGATTAAAGTCAACTATAATTAAGTGCAAACGTCATCCAATAAGAAGCGCCTATTTGAGAGTTGATCACTATTTAACTACAAAATAGTGATTAAAAAAGTTATTTTAAGAGTTTTATACAACCGGCCCCAGGTCACACTACACAACGATAACGATATGATAACTTGTATACGAGCGCTGATTGGTAAAAAATTTATTGTTATCGCGTGTTTACAATTTATCGTTATCGTTGTGTAGTGTGACCGGGCCTTAAGAAGCTAAGGGAATCATGACGTAATTACCGTAAGGGTGTATTGAAAAACAGATCAGCAAATTCTAAATAACGGTTTGGTGTAAACAGCATTCTTGAGCTACCTCTTCCGCAGGCACTTAATAGGAAGCATTTCAGGCAGGTTAATTTCTTAAATATCACCGCCCGCATATTTGCCCGGAAAAGGGGCAGCGGAGGAGGTAGATTCTTGAGACTGTTGTCAGGCATTCATCCACATGAATAAGAAGAGGTCTAAGGACCTGTTTATACAATGTATGCCAGGAAAGAGAAGCGACATGTTTTTTTTGGAATGGAGTTACTATCTATTGACCACTGAATACATTCTAGTCATGCTGATTGTGTTTTATTGTGTAGTAGAACTCTCAATAAAATTGTTAAAACAATTAATACATCCCTTATTTATAAACGTTTAAGGGCTAGATTGGGTATGTTATTTATAAAAGTATATAGTAAGGCGATCTGTGCGGGAGATGTGTTTTACTTATCTCGCCTAAGCTAGATCCAAGGCTCGGCCAACCACTGAATCTTGGATCTATCCTACCCACTGGCACCACAACCACAGCCACAACCAACAACATTTAAAACACAAAGTAGATACATATAACACCGCGGAAAAACGTCTGCGCATGCGTCAACCTTACCTGTAATAGTATTGCGAACTTGATGAGAAGCTGTTCCGAACGTTTCCGAAGGCTCAAAATGGCGGAAAAAAGGAGTGACTTCATTGTGTGTCTTTACAGCCAGATTTCAAGCGCAAAAATAATCATGTCATTCTAAAAACTAGGAATAAATACAGCCAGAAGGTTCAAGAAATTGTATTGTACAAGAACATGAACTACAGGTGATTGTTGACAAATTTATCGTCTGAAACATTTTGTTTATCAACTAAGCAACGACAATTTCCAAATTTTCGTTTGAGATACATTTCTTTAAAAAAAACTGTGTCGCCAAATATAAAAAATTTTCGTGTTCACAATAATTAAACTTTAGGATTTATTCTACAAT